CTTAAGAACCAGTGATCTCCTAGCTCTCAGGACATTGAAGGGGATGCTTTATGTTCCCCCAAAAGTGTCTATTTTGTAAAAGCTGTCTCCTTGGTTGCCTATGTTTCATTTTAAAATTGCATAGACAAATAATCTAAAACCTTGCTGCCTTCTGAAAATCATCTAGACAAAACTCTCTCCCCTTAATGACTTTCAAAACTCTATCATTACAGTGTTAGATCTCTCATAAGATAGCTCTCCATAGAAAATGCTTTGTATTTTGTCAAATTCTCTTTTAGTTCTTGAATGATTTCTCTTTATAAACATTTAAAATTTTTGCAACTCTGCATGCTAAAATGAAAATCTGTATGTCTAGAGTAGTTCCAAGGGAAAATACATACTAGATGACTTTGTCATTAAAAAGACATAAAACCCAGAATTATCATAAAGTGACATTTCCATGTTTTTTACCATGAAAAGTTGGTGATGTCAATCTATTGGTTATTTTAGGATTTCTAATCAGGTGCCAAGAAAATTAGACACTAGGAAATTAGCAGCCTGACTCCACATCTATCTTTCAAATCATTGAAATCACTTCAGTAACATCTCTTACTCACAGAGAGAACGAAAGTGAGCAGGGAAGATCTGGGTAAGAGCTTGCAGGTGTGACAGTGACAACAGCAAGGCTGTAGCCCCCAGGTCTTGGATGACTTTCTGACCCAGCATTTCCTCAATGCTGGTAAACAGAGATTATATTGAAACCATGTGGTCTGTTTTCTTAGAGCATATCACATGGAGAGTTTTTTGTACAGATTAAGGGTTAAATTTAAAGAAATGGGGCTTTTCCCTATAATATTTAACAAAATTGTTCCTCAATATGCAAAAAGATATTAAAACTTAAAGCAATTTTGTCCTGCACATTTGAGCCTAGAAGTAGTCTTTCTGGTTCTGCTGCTGCTTCAGTGGAAACATGTGGGAAGATTCTATATGTTGTCTGTGGAGTTACTTATGTAATAGATTGTTCTGTGCGACTCATGCTACACCACAAAACAAAAACTTCAACCACAGGCTCCGGCTTTCGGACAATGCCAATACCTGACCTAAGGGGTTGGTCACACCACAAACTTCTGATTAGAAGGAGGAAAACTGTGAGGTGTAAATCAGGATCACCCCAACAGAAGAGTTGAAGATAAGAAAAAGGAAAGGAGGAAGAAAGCTGGTGCAGGATGCATCAGAGCAGGATTATTTTGCATTCTCAGAGCTATCCAAATATAATTATGATGGAAACTGAAAAGCAAACTTTAAACCTAGCTGATAGAAAAACATAGCTTTTGACGGAAGTTGCCTCCCTGCTCTGAACTGGAGAGTCTTGACAGCAAATGCTTGCTGGGGATCATAATTTAATAATTGCAATTGAAGGGGTTAGTTAAGAATGACTGACTGACATCACGAAACAAATGAAAGATGACGAGGGTGGATTTTGAGCTCTAATTCTCCCATGCCAGGGAAGCGTTCTACACTCTCTCTGCCTCGGTGTGCCTGGGGCCTCCTCTTCTTGATCTGTCTTATTCTTAGCCATTCTCTTATCATCTTCTGCATCTCATTGTTATCCTGCGCCGATCCACGACAGAGCCAGGATGGATTCTTTCTTAAATGTGTTGTTTTTAACTATTGCCGAGAACTCTGTCCCTCTGTGACTGCCTACTATAGACAGACTCACCTTAACTGTACGTCCCCAGCTGAAATGACATCTGTCACTAATTTGCTTCTGCACAAATCTGTGTCAGACAAAACCTTAGAGAAGGGTCTGTCTTCTTGCTCCGCTTTACACTATAATCGTAGTGTGGATTATGTAAAACATTCTGACATTTTAGCAGAAAGACAACAATTTGTAAATTGGGTGGGGGGTGATGAACCACTGTGTATAAATCACTGATTCTGTGTTATACTATTAGATAATCCTTAGTGTTCCATGTCTGCTCTAAGGGAAGTAAACTTGAAATAACTAGGAGAAGTGCCATGAGGCAGCCTTTATAGAACATATATGCTTTCAGGGGAATCCTTAGATATGATTTGTCTGTACCCGTTACTTACAAAGATTAATACATACAGTAAGAAAATGTAAGAAAACATAAATTAAAATTGGTTAAACATTAGACAGAAGGAAAACAGAGTAAATAATGAAATGGACCAAAGAGTGAAGTCAGTACAAAATACATCCATGGAGTCTTAAATATTTGCACATAATGACTACAAATTAGGCTCTGAGCTTCCTAGTAGCCCACATAAAGAGGCAACCAAACAGAATCTCCCCACATGTTTCCACTGAAGCAGCAGCTAAATATGATTTTTTTGTAGTCGGTATTATGTGAGGGATTCAGAATTATTCCACTGGTATTTTATAAGTAACTATTTGAGGCTGAAATTCCCCCAATTTTATTATTCCAATTATAAATTTTAATGCATTTTATTATATTACTATATATTATAGTACCTATTTGGCAGATTCTTATTTTTAAGGTTTATTCCTCATAAACATAAGATTACAAGGTGTAAAAAAAAAAACAATGCAACACCATTTATAGCGTGTGTGTGTGTGTGC